TTTGAAAGATATTTTGATTGATTTCATAGGGCTATCCGGATATGTCATGATTGTTGTTTTGAGGAATGTTTTGCTTATTTGGGGTAGTAGCCTAATTTGGAATTGATGGATTTCTGTTCTGGCTTATTTGTGGGAAGGCACTTTTGTAGTTTGGCATTCATTGGGAATGAAGATTCATGTGTGTGTTATTCACTCACATGGCCTCACACTTAAGTAACTCTGTTCTGGTCGATATTATTTCGACAACTCTGTTCTGGTCGATATTGTTTCGACAACTCTGTTCTGGTCGATATTAATTCGACAACTCTGATAGAAGCTTCTGATTGATTTGGTGTTACCGACGGGTAACCACATATGTTCTGTAGGCTACCCAAATAATGCAACMTTCCACTCTGATTTTGAAAGTATGAATGAATGTAAGATTGTTTTGAATGTTTGAATGATTTAGTTATTCGAAAGTTTGAAAGTTGTACCAAATGTTTTAGAAGAAATTTTGAAAGTTTTGATTGGAAAATTTAGTTTGTTTTGAAAGTTTTGAAAATTGTATTAAATATTTTAAAGGACTTTAAAAGTTTTGATCTGTTCGTATTTTTGTTTACGAATGTTTTGAAAGGAAAATGAATTTTGAAATTCGATATGGAAATTGCTTATTGATCATTTTTGTACTCATTCTTTGTTTTCCTAAATGTTTTTCAGATGAAGGACTGAATGATCGTTTTGGTAGAAGGTGAAGTTTAGCATACTGGCATGAGTTTGAAAGTCATCTTCCTATTTAGTTAAGTTAGTTTAGAAAAATTCTGTAAAGAAATTGCTTCCGCTGAATAATTTTAGTTCTTAAGGTTTCTTGAAAGTTACGTTTCCGCATTTTTTCAGAATGACCGTATTAGAAAATACAGGTTGTTACAAACTCCAAGATTAAAAAATCCAAGAAATCAAATTATCAACTTAGGGAAAAAATCCAAAGGCACAATTTAATTCTTGAAATAAACGAGCCAGAGAAGGTGGGTTACAGTTCAGCTCTTCCTTTGTCAGCTTCTTCCTCGAAATAGGTAAAGAATGTCTCTATTTTCAATCTCAAAATTGATTCCTTAGTTTTGTCTCCCCTTTAGGACTGGGCACTATTTTCTTTATATATCGATCGAGCCCTGATTTTTAGGGCAGCATCTGGAAGCTATACGGATTTGGTTGAAAATTGGGGTGCAAAGTTACTGTGCAGTCACAGATGCAAGAACATCCAGCAGGCTCCAACAAACTCTAGCATTTCCACACCAACCTTCATAGCTCACATCTTAGGCATCCTTAACTATAAAAAATACACCAAGAAAATCAAATAATTAGCTAAACTTCATTCAAATTAAGGATACTTGATGATTCTAAATAGCTTAGACACCTACTTCACCACATGCTTCTCTTTTCTTGCTAATTGACCAAGGATCCTTACGTTTTCACACCAAAATTGCTCAATTTATACCACAAAGCACTCTCTTATCGAGAGTTATAAATCATTCCTACTTGAATGTTCTTGACATGCAACTCAAAGAAACATGAAATTGTAAAGTTCAAGGAAGCATATTGGCTAAAAAAAAAGCTTGATGACTAATTTACATTAAAACTAATCTAATCTGTAAAACAATGTAATGGTCAGGCTGTAGATAGCCTCTCAGCTAAACCATAAATGGTATGATAAGAAAACAATAGCCAATTGGATCTAAGAATCCTTATGGTTATGCAAACCCCTAGATCACAAGTGCTAAAACCCCCAAATCAAGATGATGTCAACCAAAGGAAGAAGTTAGAACGGATTTACCTTGATGATCAATATCAAGAGTAGAGAAAACTTGTTTCTAAACTCAAGATTCGAACCACTCCACAAGATAGCTTGATCAATGCTACTTGAATGATTCTAGCATGCAATTCTAAAACACAAGAAATGCAAAGGAAAAGCTCATGGCTCAATAAGCTTAAATTTCATTATCTCAAAACTCAAATCTCAAATCTCAAATCTCAAATCTCAAATCTGTTTTTCCAAGGGAATAAGCTAGGCTATTTATAGCCTCCAAAACAACCCTTCAAGTAACCTAAAAGAATTGTAAAGGTTGTAACTCYCTACTACATCAATACCATAACCACCACTAACACAAATAAAACTTAAAACACATAAATGAAATGTTTAAAACTGAAAATACAATTAAACATGCTTTAAATCCGAGAATGAAACTCCTCCACCATAAAACCAAGAGTTTGTAACCCTTCAAGAGTGAATAAACTGGAGTTTGAACTACTTTCAAGTACTTTGAAGTCTTGTTCATTTAATGCATCTGGAGTTCAACTTAGACTTCCATTAATGCAACTCGAGTTTGTAGTAAATGAAGTTGGACTTGTTCTTGACTTCATTCAATGCCACTTGAGGTTGCCATAAATGACACTAGAGTGCATTTAATGCAACTCCAATTTGTTGTCAACTTGGACATAGGATTCTCCAACAACTTCCTTTAACTCTTTGAAGACTAAGACAGTTTGGTTCATATCATGGTACATCATCAACACAAAAGCAAAAGACGAAAAAACCTACTTAGTATGTTCAATAAAGGGTAAAATTTGAAAACAATAAATTACATAAAAATTTCTTAAATAAATTGTTATCATAATGTAAAGTCCTAGGCGGTTCATATCATCGGAGGTTTAAAATTCATAGATTGTAACTTTACAGATTTGTTTAACTTAAATTATTGTTTGACGGTTATTTTACATGCATTTCTTTATTCGTTTCTATTGCACTTTTATTTTATTCAAGTTCTGTACGTAGTTCTAGTGAGTTTATACTCTCTTAAAACATTGAAGAGAATAAGGTCAAGCTAGGAGAACTTGGGATTATTTATTTTATTGTATTTCACTTATTAATGTTATTTTCAATCAATAGAAAGTATTCACGTTTGGAGAACAAGCCCACTGCATGCTCATTGACTACACAACGCTGATAGAACGAACGATTCATTTCGCAGGGAAATTGTTGGATTGACATTGAATGTATATTTAGAGTACTAAATTAATTGAGAAAGTAAAATACCTTTGTAGAATTTCTCCACAAGACCTTCCTCGCTATGACTTGAACAAATGGACCAAAGTTGGTGGGAGCTCCTTGAAAGAAATGAGAGAGAATTTCGAGAGAATTCGTAGAGAACGAATGTTTGTTTTGGCTTACCTCAAAGGTCTTATTTATAGAATTTGAGGTAGAATCTTTTTAATATCACATTTTAAAAAGTTTTATTTTATTTTATTCTTATAATATTTTATCTAGATAAAATATTATCTTTTCCTTAATGTATCAATTACACTAAATAGGAGAATCTCATGCCAAATAAAATCTTTTAATATCTCATATTAAAATTTTTATATTATTTGATTCATAGTCAAATAATTATTTTATTAGTTTATCTTATATATTAATAAAATATTAATTTAAATTTAAATGTATCAAATACATTAATTTATTATTCTCATTTTTTTAATGTATTCYAAGTACATTAAATATGAATTTGAACATTTCAAATTCAATTTTCTTTCCACATAATTTGGTCCATTAATGTTATTATGAGTTAGCAAGGGGATCTTAATTAAATGTATGATGCATAAATGATGTCATTTAGATTAAAATCCCACCATAAGTTGAAGCATGATCATGAATTGTATTAATATAAGTGTTATATTATATGAAGCGTGATGAATTTTTCTTGTAATTGATATACTTGTTATGTTAATTAATGGAAAAAATGAGTTGCATTGAGCATGAAATTTCTTTAGTAAATATAATTGTTATATTTTCATGAGTGTCATTTGATGCATGCCTATTAGTTTAACTATATGTATAATTGTTATATGTATGTTTAAAACTTAGTATTGTAGGTCTAGGATTAATTAATTTGTTTTAAAAAAAGTTTAAAAATTATTTAAATAAACCTTACGTTAAATAAAAAAATTATAATAAGATTAGAATTTTTTCTTAAAAGAAAAAGTAGTTGTAAAATATTGCATATAAGGGACTCTGTCTTAGCAAAGTTTTGTCTAGTTTGAGGTATTTAAGATGACTATTTAAGGAACACATCTACTTGGAAACCGACCTGGGGGTTGAATTAGTAAATATTTTATAAAATCATGCAATGTTTTAGTTTATTAAATTATTTCATAAACTAAGAAAATTAGTGTAAAACTATCAAATATAAACAAGTTGTATTGGGCAAATGATTTAATTTGAAGAAACATGTTTTAGCCTATTTTTTCTTAAATAATAAACCCTAAGTTATAAAATACATAGTGGGAGGATTATTGTATGTTATAACATACCAGTATGTTTCATATACGAGGTATGTATAATATATACTACTTTCCTTCACGTTCTCCATGAAGTTCACACTGTGAGATTCATGCTCGGCCATATGGTGCCTTAGGAGCATCCTCCTCGAGGTGTTTGCATGGATCAATATCAAAGTAAATGGAGAAAGTATTTAAATGAAGTGGGAGAACGTCGTGGGACAACACTTCCTATGGTCTCTTAGTTTGAAAAGCAAGGGTTTCATGCTTGGCCTTGTGGTGTCCTAGGAGCATCCTCCCTTATGAAGGTGTTTGCATGAGATCAATGTCATGACAAACTCCATAAATAGATAGGGTTCTAAAGTTTTTGCGACAGTATTGTCCTACCCTTCGGTAGTTGTGTTGGGGAGGAATTTTAGGATCTAAAATGAAAGGGCTACACTTACAAGAAATTATTAAGTTGGTTAATGATTTCTAGACCAAATGAAATTGTAGCTAATCATTATAGGGGTAAGAGTTATCTTAGTATAGTGTTTGGTTAAGATAGTCTCAATTCAGTGAAGGTATAACTTACTATCCTTCGATGGCGGTTGTTTTAAATCATTGAAGATCATTGCAAATTATTTAATTGTTAGGGTTGATTATTTCTTAATTTGCTAAGTTGGTTTAAAGGGTTCATTATTTAAGTAATTATGTCTACGTTTTTAATTTCACGTATCGCTGCCGATAAACTGACTGTGGATAAATATCCCACGTCGAAAACGAACCTTAGTGCCATACTCGTAGTAGATGATCTTTACTTTGTCTTAACGGAGGCCTATCTGAAGGCCCCTGAATCTGACGCCACGAAATTTGTTTGTGGCGCATATGACAGGTGGACAAAGGCCAACTCAAAGGCCCGATTCTACGTCTTGGCTAGCATATCTGATGTTTTGGCCAATAAGCATGAAATCATGATCACTGCACTCCAGATCATGTACTCGTTTGGTGACATGTTTGGAAAACCTTCCTGACAAGTCATGCATGAAGCTCTCAAATTCATCTTCCACTCACGGATGAACGACGGAACATATGTCCAAGAACATGTTCTCAGTATGATGATCTACATCAACGTGGCGAAGATGAATGGCACAGTCATCAATGAGTCCAGCAAAGTCAGTTTTATTCTGAAGTCTCTTCTGAAGAGCTTCCTTTAGTTTTGCAGCAATGCTGTGATGAAAAACAAGGGACCTGAATGGGACAAAAATGTTGTCACCTCTAACAAGAACTTCCACAGAGGTTCGACCTCTTGGACTAAGCCTAGACCTTCTTCTTTGGGTTTGAAGAACTTAGAAAAGAAGAAAGGTGGACAGGGGAATAAAATTTTCCCCGCTGCTGCCCAAAAGGGGAAGAAGGTTAAGGCTGCAACCAAAGCAAAATGTTTCTACTAAGGTGTTGACAAGCACTGGAAGAAGAACTGTTCAAAGTACTTGGCCGAGAAGAAGAAAGCAAAAGAAAGGAATTAGTTCTTGTAGGCAGCTAGAGGCTGAAGAGATGTCTCAGTGTTGGAACAGGGAGATCGTCTCTACTGTTGTGGTGGGCAACGTCAAATTATTTTTCAGCAAACGTAGATATATGTTATTAGATAATGTGTACATTGTCCCTCAAATGAAAAAGAATTTAATTTTTTGTTGCTTGCTTACTTGAATAATCTATGTCATTCTCATTTATTTCTAATGAAGCATTTATTCTAAGAAAATGTGTTGAAATTTGTTTAACAAAATTAGAAACTAACTTGTACGTACTAAGACCAACTTTAACTAAAACAATTCTAAACACTAAATTGTTTAAAACTGTAACAACATAGTTCAAAAGACAAAGAATTTCTTCTAAAGAAAATGCCCATCTTTGGCACCTCAGGCTTGGCCACATTAATCTCAACAGGATTGAGAAACTGGTTAAGACCGATCTCTTAAGTGAGTTATACAACAACTCTTTACCAATATATGAATCTTGTCTTGAGAGCGAAGTGACCAAAAGGACCTTTACAGCAAAGGGTTATAGAACCAAACAACCTTAGAACCTATACATTAAGACCTTTGTGGTCCGATAAACGTTTGAGCTCGAAATCGGTATGAATATTTCATCTCTTCCATTGATGATTATTCAAGACTTGGGTATCTTTACCTAATGCAAGATAAGTCTGAAGCTCTTGAAAAGTTCAAAGAGTATTAGACTGAAGTTGAAAATTCATTAGCTAAGTCCATTAAAATACTTCGATTAGATCATGGTTGGTGAGTACATGACTTAAGATTCCAAAACTATATGATAGAATACGAAATTGCTTTCCAACTCTCAGCACTCGGTACACCACAACAAAATGGTGCGTCAGAAGGAGAAACAGAGCCCTGTTAGACATCTTTAGGTCAATAAGGAGCTATGCTCAATTGCCTGACTCATTTTGGGGTTATGCATTAGAGACTATAGTTTATATCCGCAACAATGATCCATCAAAGAGTGTTTCCAAAATACCGTTTGGACTTTGGAGATGTCATAAACCTAGTTTAAGACATTTCAAAGTTTGGGGATGTCCAGCACATGTGCTTGTGGCAAACCCAAATAAATTAGAATCACATTCAAATGTGTACCTATTTGTAGGTTATCCCAAAAAAACGAGAGGTGGTTACTTCGTCGATTCTAAGGAAAATAAAGTATTTGTATCGACAAATACTACTTTCCAAGAAGAATACCATGTAAGAGATTATAAACCACATAGTAAAATGGTGTTAAATGAAATTTCCAATGAAGCTATCAGTACGTGTTGTGGTTCCTAGCAATGGGTAAATTATAGAGCAAGTATACAATAATTCTTGTCAATTGTAGTACAAACAAGGTCGTCTCCACAAGGAATTCATGAGTACAGAAAATGGTTAATTGATTCGAGCTACCAAAAGAAATAATAAATGAAAATGAAGTTGGTTGATCAATTTTTGCTAGTAACTTGTCAAAGTAACTTTTCCATACTTCTTCCAAAAAAGAATTGAACACATTGGGAGGTTTCGATCTGTTTTTAGGGAATCGAGGAGAGGAAATCCACCTACTGATTTTAAGCATCACCTACTAAAGAAAAACACATGAAACTCTTAGAACCCAGACCCTCACGGCTCTCTTCCGAGTTACCCAGCAATTGTTCTAACCCAACTCCCGTCATGGTTATAACAAACATGAAACCAGTCTATAGGCACCACAGAGTGAACCCATTCCTAGGTATTCACTACTCTGTTTCAGAAAGAACAAAGAAACTGTAACGCCCTAGAACATTCTACACGCTCCTAGGTAACGTTAACTAACCACCTGTCTAACCTTATCTCTAAACACGAGATAACTAACTCCCTATGAAATAATTACATAAAATAAAGCTTCAACTCCCATCAATTGACCAAAGAACCAATCCTTTAGATCATCAATCAATCGTCATCCATGGACAACTTCATAAAGCAATTTCATTATTCCAACTAAGCAAACTCAATGGATGGAAGAAACTAAAATAGACGCCTATTCTGAATCAAAGTAGACAACAAGTGGGAACCCCCAATTAATTAGATAGGAACAAGTAGTTTGTTGTCCAAGCAACAAAGTATAAACCATCTAAACCTAAGCTAAGCAAAAGTAACTACGCAGCCTATGACCTCCTCACTCGTCATGTCTCCTCCACGTCATCACCATGGTCGTCAACGAAATCTCCGCCTGAAACAATAATTGCAGTGGGGGGG